GCGAACGTTAAGGGCAAACTTTTAATTAGAAAGCAAGTACGGTCAGCTGGAAAATGGCAGGGGAGCAGTGGCAAATACGGAAACTATGCACGGGAATATTTCATTATGTGTACATATGTATACACATGTACATATCAGTACACGGAAAGAAATGTAGTGATGAAAACTCTAAAAAAGTTTTTAAAGTTTTATAAATTTGTAAGTTGCAGTATTACTTTTTAAAATTAACTTATATTTTAAGCGTTTTAATTGGGTTCTCATTCTTCATTATTTAATAAAACTGATATTTTTCTGGTCTATTTAAGGCCCAAAATTAAATCCTATGTCACTCATTAGTTACTTATTATTAAAAGAAGATGTCTAAAATATATTACTAAATTAAATACAATTTTTTAAGTTTTTCTCTCAGTGCATGCGTGTTTGCGTAGTGGCACTGACTTTTCCGAGCCAGCGAACTCTGCATGTTTAGGTCCAATAACGGAATTGAACGCACAATAGTTGGCAATCAAGCGAGCTGAGCTGGGGTAGGTTAGGGTCATTCCACGCATCAGGGAACGGCTTCAGGCGGAGTTCCATTCCCGATCTCGAGACACGCTACCCTACTCCCCCTCCCCGCACTCCCGACCCCAAAAACTCCCAGATGATAAATCGCAGGCCGACATCTCCATTGCATCTGCATGTGTCAGCCGCTCATTAAAAAGGTATTCATCATTATCCCGACCGCCGCTGCAGTTGTCGCACCCAAAGTGAAAATGCCGCCAAGACTGGGTGCGAGAATCGGATCTGTCGCTATATCTTTTGCGGCGGCGTGTTTGCTGTCAAAATCCATTCCAAAGGAGGGGAAATGGGGGGTCTCCCAGAGATGTTTTTATTAATTCCACTAGGGGGAAAGGTACAACGACTTTAAGTCTCAGCCAAAATGATCGATGTTAATGAAGAGTATTTCCTAGGGATTTTCGCAACACGGAGCCATTTACTTCAAAAACTGATTGATAGTTTTATTAATTCAAGGGCGATACATACATAATCCCAAGTAATGATCGTTATGATCAATGTTATAGTTTATGATATGCGCAGATGCAATACTTCCAGGTATTGGTAAGAGATTAAAATAACACTTTAAAGATATTTTCGCAACTTGAACGTTTAACGAAGCTATTATGTTTTGATTTATAGGAAAATATAGATGCCAAGGTGGCGAATTAATGATATAAAACAAAACAAGCTTACGTAGCAAAACGTGTTGCCATGCAAATTAACTTTAGAAAGTGTCTATCCTTCAGATATAGTATAATCGTATAAGTAATTGCTAAAAATAAATGTGATGGCTATCGTATTAGGGAGAATAACTATTTAGCGTAATGTGAAATGATAACTAGATGATAATGGCACATGTTAATGGAGAAATCAGCCAATTCTAGTTGCTAAGAGGCACAATTTAAGGTCACGAAATTCTGAATAAGGTCTATTTGGATTATAATGGATATGAGATATATATCAAGCCATCAAGTTTCCGATTTTAATAGTGAGAGTATTCCAGTTTCGTTGTGAGCTTGGTCCCATGCGACATACACCGACATGCAATTGTAATTTTCTTGCTTTCTTCTCGCATTTCATTTTCGTTATTGTGAAATTGTTCAATAATTTTTCTTTTTCTTGGCCTGTCCCAGTCGTCATCTGTGGCCCCTTTCCGAGATGAGATGCGTTATGCGATATGTGCGCCACTTTGGCTTATGATGGAATTGACACTTCAGTTTCTGTGACATCCGAAGTGCGGGACGCCCATCAAAAACAGACCCGGGGCTCTGATAGCTGCGATACATAAGTATAATTCCCCAACCCATCCAGCGAGGCACTGAGATGCCAGATAGTGGAGGCAGACGCACTTGAAATGCATAAAATGGCATTTTTCTTTGTGTGTGCAATGAATGCTTTTGCCTCTTTGGTGGGTGTTTTTTTTCGAGTGGAAGGAGAATAGAGTTTTACGGCCAAGTGGAGTTTTTGAGATGCGTTTGTTAGTGCTAATGGCGCATTTATGGCCGCAGGGTTGGAACCCAAAAGCTCGGGGTGTGTGGTCTATCAGTCGATCAATTTGTCCTCTCGTCACTTGGCAAAATAAACTGTAACCGAGGCACATATAAATTGGGTAACAGCTGAACAAACCCCCTGTGTAAATTGTTTTATCATTACGAAAAGTTTGAGTTTGGATTTCCGCTAATTGCCAAATAGCAGCCCTGAAGTTTGCCTTGGTTTAATTTCCATTTTATTCGTTTTCTTTTGTGTGTAATCTAAGCTGGAAAACGGTGGGGGGCACTATATAGCCTACATAACTGTAAGTTCCCACTGCCTCACGCTTTGTTGCACCACATTTCCTTTAACCCATAAAAACCAGGCACATGCGCAGCGTCAAGAGATGTAAAAGATACATCTGATACGGAAAGGCAAAAGGCGGAAAACAATGGGAGCAGGGCGAAATGGGCTTGAAATTGAGAACGAATGAAGAAACTGCCGGCGGATATATCGTTGTTCTTATTATTATTCTTGCTGGCGTTACTGTTGTGGGTCGTATGTTCCTCTTCCCGTATCAATCATAATTAGGAAGCCAGTGTCTGTAAGTTTTGAGAAACACTAATGTTTCTCCGGCTCTCAGACATAAATCCCAATGACTTTAGTTTTTACGTTCGTGAGAATTCATCATATTCGTATCTTAGCTTACACAGAAAAAAGCAGATATTTTAAAAGTTGAGAGCTATTTGAAAAGAAATTACCCACATGATATAAACATTTTAAAATTCTCTTTGATAAACATGTTGAACATTGCAGTGCAATTGGAAAAATGTAATTTCTTATTTTGAGTAAATACTGAATAACAAAAAGGTTATCAACGGAGCATTTATAAAAAAGCAACTTAATCATACTTTAAGTAAAAACATAATATCCCACTCAACAATTTTTATAATCTTGCTTTTCAGAGCTTCCAAACAAACTGTCTTAAATCCGAACTTTAAAGCCTGATTTTAAATGGCGATTTTATTTCTTCGAGTGTTCTTTATGCAAGCTGCACTTGCCTTCATCCGACTTTCGGAGCCCACATCCCAGCACATCAAATGTTTAGTGCTTAATAAAGTGTGTTATGTCTTTTGTGTAATTATTTTTAGCTTTAGTCGCGCTTGATTGCCATGTTAGGAAAGAGGAAAATGGAAGGGGAAGGGGAAAGGCCTCGCAGGCGTTCCAAAACGAACATTTTCGTGTGTGGGCCCCCGAAACACAAAGATCTTAAAGGTTTCGGGCCAAGCACCGAAAATACACCCCTTCCCCTCCTTATATACATATATAATATACATATACCCGTGGTATGTAAATGCGAGAGTCCCACCTACAAGGTGCTTTGGGCTTTTGGGTTTCTATTTGCACAGGTGTTTTTAGCACCTGGGTTCATGGGTGCCTGATGTGTTTGGGGCATTAGTTATCATCATCGTACGCCCTCGGGGGGCGTGTCGCCGGTAAGTGCTAAAAGGCATTCGACTGCACTTTTCTGTAATAATTAGCACATCATGACTTGTAAATAAAGGCCACCAGTGATGGGCGATGTTCTCTCTGTATAACTGCTCTACATTAGAGACTTCACTTATTGAAAATATATCCAGTTAAATATTTTAATTTAAGAAATGTTTTTAATATAGAATCAAAATAATTTACCAATTAAACCAGAGGATTTCCTGCAACTAACTCAATTTTAATCTTTGTGGGTAGTATAAAACCACTAAGACCTTGGTTATATAGGTTATTAGGTTCAAAACGGTTTTTTGTTTTAGATATCTCTCCACTATTTCTTGTATTACTTCAAGCAATCTTTTTACAAAGATAAATTACCCTTTTTCTCCCTTAAAACTTTGCCGTTTTGTTGATGATTTTTCCATTATCTATGCAAAAACTTCGATAGTTTGGCGGAAACTTTCATTTGTTTTCTCATCGCGATTGCTTTTCCCACGAAAATCATTTGGCAGATGGCTTTTTGATTGCTCCGACTGCTAATTTTTGGAGAGGTAATGGCCCGCGAGGCAAACTCGAAATTCGAATCGCATTGGAGCATAATTCAATTTTCGCTTATGGCCAAACGAAACCGGTCCAAGATGCCAGCCATCAGCAGTCAGCTAATAATAAAGATTTTAAACTAATTGGCTCATTTAACGCAAAAAAAATCATTATAATAATGATGACGATGACTGATGACTACTTGCCCGATAAGTCGCAAAATCATGGCCTTCGGAAAACGGAGAGGGAGTGTATTGTAAGTCGCCAGAAATTAATTATACAAAAGTAAGTTTGGCCATTGCAACGTTCTTTTTTTCTGCTGTGTGTCTCGTACTCTCCCATTTTTGTCAGCGATTTTGCAAATTGAAAAGGTTCCCCGCCCCTCCCCTCACGACTTCGCCCCTCGACCAATGACCTTTATCGCGAAAGTCATTAACGAAGGAATTGGCGCATGGCAAAGGAAGTAGTCGAAGTCAAAGGAGGACGAAGAAGGACGGCATTGATAAAGTAGAAGGAAACACATAAAAGCTGCTGGACATAATCGTCTCCGCGGGGCAAAAGGGGGTGGTATACACAGCGAGAAAAGTCTATCTAGACTGTAATTCAATCGAATGATTCATTTAACTCACTACAACTAAAAAAACAAATCAATAAATCAGTTCTTATAAAGATGTATTTCACATTCTTATTAGTCGTTTACTTCCTAATTACATTTCTGTTATCTTATCTACGCGAATTCTTTAGCTAAAGATAGTCCAATATACTCTTAGTTTTACCAGCGAAAATATCACTCCATATGGACAGTGATTCTTTTCGTTAATTTAAATTATTTTAAAGAAGATAATGGTATCAATGTCTGCACAAAAATTAAGTTGATTACTCTTTATTGTATTTCTGTTTTAATGTTATTTTTTTTAACAATTTAAAAATTTTCTCAGTGTATGGGAGCTTTGTTGGTGACTTACTTGCGTGCCAGGCGCTTCCTTATTCCCGCGAACATTTTCGGTTCTCCTTTCGCTACTCGGCTTTATCCGCTTTTATGTCCGTACTAATGTTGTATTGTAAATTAAATTGCCGATTTCCGGAGGGTCTCACCGCTCCACCGCTATCTTTCCCACTCCCGGCCAGAAAAAGGGCAACTGGATACGGCGACACTTAAAATTAATTAAAAAAACAGCAAAAAATCGCAAACGCAATTGTCGCGCAGCTTCACTTCATGTACTTGTTGTTTTTCAGCTTGTTTTTGTTCATTTGGCGAGTTGTTTTTGGTGTTATTTTTGTTGTGATTGGCAGCTTTTGGACGCCTCATTGCAAGAGGCGAACAAACAGACCCACAAACCAGCTAACAAACAAATGGGAAAAACAGAAACCGAAATGAAAATCAATTAGCCAAAGTAGGCAGCTGCAACTGTTTGCCGGAGATTTATTTCTACACTCGTATATATGCGGACGGATTTTGGATTGTGCAATCCGTAATTCGTAATTCGTAATTCGACGGAATCAATAATCCTCAGCTGCGATCGCGATCGCTATAGAGCATTTCCCAACGCACAAGCACTTTCGATGCACCGAAATATTTTCATTCACTTCGCTCCACGTTGACAATCTCATCGGGTTTTTTGCTTTTCTTTTCTTCGGGGAGCTGAAACGAGAAAAGGAGAAATTCACACATTATTTTCAAATTTATTTTCCGTTCATTTGTATCAACAGGCTTTGAAATGAAAAGAGGGGCGAATTTCGAGAGGGCCGCAAAAGCGATTTATATAATTGACGTGTCGAGTGACAAATTCGAAGCATTTGCTTCCAACAAGTCGCGTCGAATCGGGTTTTAGGGTCCGGCTTACGGGAAGTTACAGCATCAGCAGAAGTGTCCTAATTCTTGCTGGCCAAAAATTTGATATGCTATGAAACCCTAAAAAATACATTGAAATTGACATTTCATATGAGCTATTTACAGAATAATTCACTTTGACAGGGTCACGATTTCATTTAATATCGAAATATCTCTACAAAAAAAAATTTTTGGTAAAATAACAAAAAAAATAAAATTTAAAAAATTATTTTTTTTTGGGTTTTTTTTTTTTTTTAAAAATTAAAAAAATTTTATAGAAGTATTCCTTATTAGAATTTTAAATCACAGACAACATTGTTATGAGAGTAACAATAAAATATATTTATTATTTATATTTCGTATTTTGTAGAAATTTTTCCATATTTTTATTCAAAATACAATCTGTATTTGTTTTATTTCAGCGGTTTGCTCGTTTGAATTCAACTTAACACGTTTTCAGTGACTATTGAAATTCCATTTCTGTATACCTGTAACAATTAGTGCTTTTTAATGAATAGATTGGGTTTTGTGGTGGCAAACTTTTAATGATGTTACGGGCCTAACGAGATTTGCAATTAAGTGCCGTGAAAACTTCCTTAAACCATTTGGCTGGAAAACAACTGTTACTGTGTGAAGGCATTTAGTGGACCAGCCCGCAGAAGTAAAGATTTATGGTCTGTAAATTTGATGGAAGCCAGGGAAATTTGCAGAAAAGAAGAGAAGAGTCTGCTGGCGGTGGAGGGGGGGAATGGGAATGGTAATGGGAATGGGAATGTCTGGCCATTCGGATGGATACCCACTGATAAGGCGGCCGTGCGATCTCCGCCAGAACAGAACGGGGAACATCAATCATGGCCTCAATCTGTGTGTGACCCCCATCCTTTTCAGCCAGAACGGATGCAGATGTAATTATGGCCCTATGCCTGTGCCTCTCCGTTCTTTTGGGCCCCTCTCGGTGCTAATGGCGTATTTGGTTACAGTTTCGGCCCTGCACTTGGCTCACATATGAGTTTCAAGCACAGAGGCGGCAACAGATGGAGTTGCAGACACAGAATACAGCCACAGATACAGATACAGATACATTTAGCCATGCATGACAAAGAACATGGCTCTTTTTTTATCGTGTTTTTCAATGTTTTCCTCCGTTTTTCCTACCAACTTGCCAGAGAGAGCGTGAAAAAAGCAAAACGCACCAACTTGGAGCTTCTCACGCACGCGGCGGCATTTGTATCTGTATCTGCGACTGTGCATCTACGAACGGCGTACTGTGTACTGTATCTATTGGAGATTGCCACACGTACTACCCGTGAACATTTCCCCCGGTTCCTGTCGCCACACAGAGAAAAATGGAACCCATGCATTCTTTTATGTGACACAAATATATCAATAGGATAAGATTGGAAACATTTTAAAGAGCAAACATTATACAAATATTTGCTCGGTAAACTAATTAAAATGGTAATATAGAACTCATGACATATTCTTTAAAAGCGTAATATCTTTATATTGGATACACATAAGGTTACATTCGATAAGATAAATTTATAATGTATAGTAAAAAGAATACATAGATAATGGAAATTACTACAAACACCTTTTATGATATTGTCTGAAGATAATAAAGAGTTTAATAAAAACACAAATAGATGTAGGTTTCAATATAGAACAAATTCAAGGTAGTCTGACTATGTTTTTTCTCTGTGCCGCCCTTGTTATGCTTCATGTTCCGCATTCGGCTGTGCCGCTATTTCGGGTCGTTCCCCCTTTTTTATGCTTTGCCCTCTCATCCCTCTGGTCCCGCTTTCCCGGCTTTCCCATTTTCCCCTGAATGAACAACGGAAACCTGCCGCATACGATACGCCTCAGCGAGCGTGCAATTACCACCGCAAAACAGTGCTTCTGGATCCGCATCCGAATAGGAATCTGAATCCATTCTCCACCATCCACTAGTCCACTAGTCCACCAGCAGCTAAATATCAAAAGTTTCTCAAACTCGAAAATAGTGCAATCTCGCCGGCAAGTGGAACTCTTCTGATTTATGGCCCATTGTATCCGACAGATACAAAACGCTTTTACCAACACTCGAGGCCTACAAGTGGCTGTCGGTGCAGTTTCTCCCCTTTTCCTCCATTGCCCTCGTTTACTGATTACTTTGCACTCTTCAGCAAGTGAAATCCAAGACTCAACGCCCACAGATTGAACAACAAAGAGTTGCTCACATTTCGACGGGGGAAGGGGTTTCAGGGGCCGGAGGAAGGTGTCACCCACATGCCACTATCTCGAGATTAGAGAACAATCCCCGCTCAACTGGCTAAGGAATTCGCCAGATCGCCTTTTGTTGACCCAAAGCTAAAGTAATGAAGATGATTACTTAATAGAATTAATTTGGTCTAAATAATGAACATTTTTTTTCTAAAGAGCTGCTAAACAGATTCGAACTCTTCTGTGCTAGTTTTGATAGGGTCATAGAATATTCTTTCCTTTACAGATTGAAGAAAAGCTTATTAAAAGTATATAGATTAATTTTTCTAGTTTGAGATCTGAAACCTATATTTTAGTTAATAAAACTGTGAATATTTATCTTTCCTCAAAATCCCTATTAATAAATTTCAAGAATACCTTTTGGAAAACAGAACTCCTTAAACGGATTTCAATAAAAAATGTCTGCCAAATTAAGTAAACACTTTCAAGAGTCCAGCTAAATATTATCTAGAACCAAATGAAGAGCATTTTGGACATGAAAATATACAGAGTTTTGTGTCCAATTTAGCTGAGACTGAATCTTTTTCACTGGCAGATGAAAAACGAGGCAAGAAAACGGCGACGAGCAAATGTGCGAAATAAAAATTTCATAACGTGAAATTAGCGCACATAACTCGAATGCAAATGCAATTTGGGCACGTCGTGCGAGGGGTATGGGATGCTTATGGAGGGGTGGTGGGTGGACAGGGAGGGGCGGTTTTTGGGGGAGCGGGGGCCAGAAGCACCATCGCCAACTGATGACGAGTCGCTGATGGGGAATATGGCTGGCTGAGTTCGGTTCGAGTTGCTTGGCTGCCCATAAACGAAGCAGCAGCTGCATCGCAAAAACTCCTTTTTCCTCCCTTTTCGCCCGCTTTTGAAAATATCTTGAGTAACGGGATTTATAATTAAACATAAACCCGGCGGATCCGCAGACTCAGCGACTCGCCGAAGGCACGCAGAAGTCCATTTATGCCAATAAGCGAAAGATGGAAAATAACAAGAGCAGCCCTCCTTTTTCCTTTCCCTTCTTTTTTTTGTGTTTTGCTGACAGCGAATGTGTCGCCAAGTTGGCTACCTCACAGTCCCGCGAAAAACATATCGAGAAATGGGAGCGCAAAATAAACAAATCATAAATCTGTGAAAATATGCTTTATGGCTGTGTACATGACCGCGACCACCCAAAAATGAGCCTGCTTTGTGGGCAAATATAAAATCGTATTTGTGTATCCCGCAGATGCATAGATACTCTCGTGGGTTTTCAAGTTGTCAGCGGTTTCGAGTCTAGATTTTTATTATGCCACTCTTGTACGTCCAATTAGAGAGAAAAATGGCTGTGTAAATATGTACCTGACCCCCTTCCACTTGTTTGTTTTTCCCCAGTTTGATGGTTAATCGAGCGAAATGCAATCAAATTTACATTCCCTGCCAAACTGACAAGTAAACTATTCGGGGGCCCCTTCAAGTGCTGGCCATAATAAATGCCAATAAAAGTTCACATTTAACCCATAAAACTTCGATCGGGGAATTGTTGTCCCCCCCGTCCACCTTTGTTCCTCCTTTTTCTGGCTTCAGCTCAATTTCAACTTTTATTGAAGTGCCAGCAGGCGGGGAGTGTAGGTGCAAAAACAACTACGGAAATCCTCTCGATGACAGGTGTAAGGGCGGGAAATACAGGTGTGTTCGCAGGCGGGAATCGCCGCTCGCATACAGAGAGCACTTGAGTGTGCTGAAAACTACCTATAGATTCCAATTAAATGCCGTATTTGCCAATCTTCTTCGGATTAGATTGGTATTACTGATGGAAATGCTTGGGAAATGATGTTTAATTACTTGGGAAGGGGATTCTGAAGTGCCATTCAAATTCGATTTTGGACTATTAAAGATTTAGTAGATTTAAATAAATATATGCTTTTATTTACAGCCAAAAAAACTTAATATAAAACGATGATTGATTTGGTATAACAATTTTGACTTGATATGCGGGCACCTCAATTCGATATGCTCGAAGTGTAAACAACAGCCCAGTTCGATTTCGATTGTATCCCAACCACGTTCTATTTCGAATTGAGATAGTTTGTACTTCTCGCTCCTTCACTTCTTCATTTTTGTTTCGAAGTCAGAGAGCGTATGCAATAATAGAAATTTACCATGCGCATATCGATCTGACCGCGACTTTTTTTTGTATTTATTTGCATAATTTAAAAAAACAATATATTTATAATTCTTAATGATTATTTCCCTATTTTATGATCTCGTTTTCTTGAACTTATTCAACTACCCCTAACAAGCCTCATAGATAAAAGCTTTCTCTGTCTGTTTTGTCAACCTTTGAAATTACATTTTTTTAGACAAATTTTTTGTGCTCCC